CTCCAGTGGTTCAGTTACTGGCCAGGCCATGATGGCCCTGGGGCTCCCTGGGGCCTTCCTCCCAAAGCGTGCTTGGTGACACTTTCCATCCCCACCCTTCTCTCCCAGCTTTAGGCCCCCCCACAAACAAAGATTAAAATGTCCATATTTCCCTAATGGGACATCTTGTTCCTGGGAATTTCTAGGAACCGGAGAATTCAGATGAACCACAGCATTAAAACCAATGCAAATGATTTGACTAGCTAAATACTACATATGTTTATTCAAATCTGTTACCCTTACATGCAACTGAAAATAAGGCTACAGAAGAGTTAGCCAGAGTTTCACCAGATGGTGGTCTGCACAGGCTCACGCAGGCCTTGACCCTTCTGGGTAGAATGGAGCACTTGGGACCCCAGATGCTGACTTCAGCCCTTGCCCAGCTGGTGCACAGGAGAGGGGAAGACTGCTCTGCAGGCACCAGATAGATAAACAAGGTGCCTTCTGTCCAGGAGGGGTGTCACATAAACACAAGGTGGTCAGCAGGCCCACTGTTCCAAGTCAATGAGTGTCAGCCTCTCCTGACTAAGAGCCACATTGTGGAACATTTAGTGATACCCTGAGTATGAATAGATTTCATTGGAATTGCTCTCTTTCCTTGGATTTAGTTGGAATTTGATCCCTCTCCAGAAGGGGTGGCTTCAGGAGAGAAAAGGATTACAAGGTGGACTGTGGTATACAAACTGGGTTGCCTCAAAGCCAGTTTTTCTAACCTCAGTTGCCTCCTCTGTAAAACAAGGATAGATAGTAATGCCCCATTCAGGATTCCAATGAGTGGTCCTAGAATGATGCAGCCTGTGTACTCTCAGCCTCCATACAGACATTGGTGTCTACCCTGGAAGCTGTTCTTGATGTAAGGAAACCAAATGGGTAGCATTAATAGCACAAACAACAGACATCCTTGCCATTGAAAAGACCAGAGCAAGCCCTCTGATAGTGCCAAGACAGTTGGAGATAGCCTGCCCAGTCCTTGGTCTTGTTCTGCCACAGCCCAGCTGTTAAGGCAGAGCAAAGCACTGAGAGCACCTTGCCTCTCAGGAGTGAAACAATAGGAGCCCTGCCTTGAGGCCAGGTAGCTCAGCCAGGAAACTCAAGAGTCCCTGGAAGAGGCTCCCCAACTTGAAACAATATAATTTTGATCTGATTTCTCCATAGGAACAAAGTGATAGTCAGAGATTATATTATTTTCCAGTAGCCCAGTTTACAGTGTTCTCTAGGATTGCCCATAAATACCCCCATTTAACTGACTTTTGAAGCTATTGCTGTATGATATTCAGTAGGAAGCTGTTTGTGTTTAATAACTTTGTGATGCTATAAAAAATCTCCCATCTCCAAAACTTTTAATCAGTTATTCATTTACCAGCACAGGGGAAGGAACTTTCAGGAAAAGATTGAGTGGAGCAGAGAGCAGTGGCAGGATTGGGCTCTTCCTGAAGCACAAAAGGAAAGGATCCTSTTTGTCTAATGTCTCTGTGAGGGCAGAAGCTGTGTCCATTCTACCCATTTATTCTTAGCTTGCTATACCAAGTACTAGTAGCACTCATTTAAAAATGTTTTCCAGCTGGGCGTGGTGACACACACCTATAATCAATCCCAGCAATTTGGGAGGCTGAGGCAGGAAGATTGCAAGTTTGAGACAGACTCAGCAACTTAGTGAGACCCTAAGAAACTTAGCAGACTCTGTCTTAAATAATAAAAAGAACTGGGGTTGTGGCTCTGTGGTTTATTGCCCATGGGTTCAATCCCTCATACCCCCTCCCCCTGCCAAAAAAAAAAAAAAAAAAAAGTGTCACATAACTAGTTCCCACCTGCTCAGAGGCTGAAACTGAGACTGAGGCAGGAGGATCACTAGAACCCAGGAGTTACTGGCTGTATTTGTCATGTCTGCCGTGGAACTCCTGGGCTCAAGTGATCTTTTAAAATAAATGAATGAATGAATAGATAAATAAATAAATAAATGGTCTTGCGTGGACTTTGCAAAGCCTGGGACCTGCAAGATTCCCCAGTGGAAGGCAGCAGGGAGCTGTGAGAGTGAGAAGGCCCCACAGTGAAGAAGCAGGGCAGAGCAGACGTCAGAACACTGCAYAAAGCCAGAGCTGGCAAGCATGAATTGGGGATTGCTAACTGTTGTTATCTTTTTTCTGTTATATTTTGTTCTTCTTACTAGCTAGCTGTTTTAAATCCTGATTAAAATTTAGTCAAGAAGGGAAAAAGTCCCCTGTATTCTAGGTGCCAGCTTTCTCACCACTTTGAGAGGGACCTACCCAGGCTTTTTATAAATATAGCCTGACTGTGGACTATTTGCTTATGGTCACACGGGGTGGGAGCAGTGACTGGTCAAGGTCCCATCTGTGTGACCTGTTTGCAGTTACAGGAAAACTTGCTCAGGCCTTGGAAAGTTTGTGCCCTGGAGGTTGAGGAGAATGCTTGGCATTGTTCTCACGCAAGCAGCACATTTAGAAAATCCTGAGGGTGCAGCCTGGAAACCACAGGCCACTCAGAMAAGGTGTCATGTTCACATTCTGGAGGCTGAGAACAGCCACCAACTGGAGGGGCAGCCCAGATCAATGTGTTGCAGGGGAATGAAATTTGCAACCAACTCACTGGGCACTGGGCACTGTTTGGGGTGAGGTTGCCCACAACCTYACGTTCATTTCAGATGCTGGCCTGGGAGCATAGAAAGGGGCTAGGCCAGGTGGCTGGGTGTGGGCAACACCCCCGAGGAGGAGATCTGAGGCCTCTCCTTGGGTGGGGCAGCAGTACTGAGGAGTCTGAGGAAGAGACAGCTAGTCCAGGAATGTGTTGAACTGAGGTTGCCCAAGGCCAGGACAAGGCAAGGCCACCCTGCCCTGCCACATGCTTCCTCCTCCCAATTTCCTGTACTGTTAGGGCTTCTTTTTCCCTGTGGCAATCCTCTGTTGGCTATCACCAACCTTTGTGTCTTACCTTGATACTAGAGTGTGGCAGAAGTGCCTGGGGGCAGAATCAAAAAAGAGCTGATCCCTGAAGCCCTACCTAGACCTACTCAGTCAAAACCCTTGACACTCAGTGACCAGAATTGAGGAGAGGTGGGCAGAACAGTCAGGTAAAGGAATTCCAATTCATGGTCTGTATCACCACCACCACCACCACCACCACCACCACCCCACCCCCCCACCCCCCCCACCCCCCGGCTAAAATAATAGCAGTTGCATTTTATGAGAGTGGCTTGGTCCTGTGCTAACCCTTAGGTATGCATCAGTGAATGAATCCCCAAAAGCATTTTGTGGTGATTAGTAGTATTTTTATGTTACAACCGAGAAAACTTGAGCATGGTGGCACATGCATGTAATGAGGCAGGAGAATCACAAGTTCAAGAGCAGCCTGGGCAACATAGCATGACCCTGTCCCAGAAAAAAAGGGGGGGGGCTGTAGATGTAGCTCAGTGGAAGAGCAGCCCTGAGTATGCAAAATCAAAACAACAACCTCAAAAAATCTTGGGCTCATGAACGTGAAACAGTCTGCCCACTTCTACCTGTCTGGGAAGTGGCAGAGGCAGGGTGCAGTCCCAGGAATGTGAAGCTGCTCATGAAGCTGATTTCAAAGTTTTGCACCCAATTAAAAGCAGTTTTATTTGTGCACCTGACCCAGTGCTTCCTCCAACCTCAGAGGGTRCAACCTCAGAGATCCTTGAACTTAGTCCTTGGGGACATCATAATCTGGTGAAACTCAGTGTTGGAGTACCATAATGCCCACGTGGTGGACAGCATGGAGCCTGTAGCTTGCTGGTGTTTTTTGCAGCCTGACTGGTCTAAGCCTTCCTGCAGCTGCAGGTCCTGCTGAGGTTGAGTCAGCCTGGGTTTGCTGCTGGCGCCACCGCGTCCTAAGACTGCTGAACCCTTGCCTAGTGCCGGCAAGACACACCTACTGTCCACCTGCTCCTGTGAGTCATAAACTACCACACTGCTGCTAGGCCTGCCAGCTCTGTCTTTTCCTCCATTCACCATCATGCCAAGAGAAAACTTAACCATATATGGCAGGGGCACCAGGCAGTTCTTGTCCCAGGCCTGCCTTCCTCATGAAATGTGCCACTAGAAACCAGGCAGGTCAAAGCTCAAAGGCCAGCCTGTTTCCGTTGTTTGACATCAGGTATCTGGGGAGAGGACAACAGGGCAGCCCCGAACTCAAGGGCTCAGACAAAAAGAGGAGAGTCAATCCTAGCCAAACATATAGGGAAGGGGAAGATAATAGGATTAGCAAACCCTTGGCCACTAGGATGAGGCCAGAGAGATGTCAAAGGAAGGAATGATAAAGCTTCATTGATTATTTCAGACTTCCAGCTGCTCATGCGTCTCAGTTGACATTTACTGTGGATCTGTCATTGAGTCTTTCAGCCAAAAGTTTACCACTTTTTCTTGAATAAAGACTGCTTACCTGCCTAACATTCTGGAAACATTTGCACATATTGATAGCACCTGAAAATGTGATTTTGTGCAGAAGTCTSTGGAGAGGCCTTCTCACTGTTTTCTCTTGCCAGGACTTGCATCAGCCTAATAGTTGGGTAAGAGAGCTCAAAAGAAATAAACTCAGTTTCTGTTAGAGTATGTAGTAGTTGTATTAAATTGACTTGTAACGTGGCCTCTGGTGGCCAAAGGCCCCTTAACTACTGCAAATATTGATATTTGTTTCTTCCTAGAAAATTCTTTAAAAGGCCGCCCTTATGCTATATGTTGGGTTTCATTGATTAAACTGCTGCTCTGGGTTTCTGCAAACCAAAAATTTATGTTGACACTCAAATGGATGAYAAGCTGGAACATCTAAGCCACCACTGGGATTGCTCAGGGCATTTTAGTAACTGCCTCGAAGAGGCTGTGCTGATGGGCAGATGCATCCATTTTCCTTCAAGTAACACACATTTTCTATGAATGTTTAAATAACCTAAAGATGACTGTTATTCACTATTTGAAAAAAATTTTTTTCAGATTTCAGGGAAGAACAACCATTGAAGATGTCCAGCAAAACAGCAAGCACCAACAACATAGCCCAGGCGAGGAGAACCGTGCAGCAGCTGAGACTAGAAGCTTCCATTGAAAGGATAAAGGTAAGGAGCCCAAGGGACAGAATCATGCCTGCTGTGGTCCCTGCTGCTCTTCCAAGACTGGGAAATGAGTCAGAGAAGAGGGTGCCATTTAAGCCAGCTTGCTTCCAGGATTTTCCTAGAGCAGGTCAAGGGCCTCACAATATTAATTTTTATTACCTACCTAGCCCAGGCCTCATTTAAAAAAAAAAAAATGAGGAATCAGAGTCTGAGTTGACCCCTCTTTACAAAATCCTGCACAGGATTTGCAGAGGACCTGCCTTCCCTAAATGAAAGGGGTCAAGTCTTATGATTGCTGTGTTCTAAATTGGGACAGGGAGGGGTTTCAGGGGGATTTCTAAAATACCCTCCTCATCCATCTGGAGTTTATCAAGTGTTCTAGGGTATCAGTGTATCTGAGGGTGCCTTAAAGTCAACAATTGGGGTCTTCCTTTTAGGAAAACATAGCTTTTTAAATGTGCACCCTTTGGTGACCATTTTCTACCCCCAGGATAAAGGCAGGTCCCACTGAGGAGCTGGAATGCATTTCTTAGATCACATGACTTTGAAGTCTTTCCCTGCTTGGTTCCAAGAGAGGACCCTGGAATGTGGTGACTAAGGCTGTTTCCTAGGAACAGAAGCAGTCACCTGATAAATTCCTCTGAACTGGAGATGGTCACCTGTCCTCAAAGCAGCAGGCTGCCGAGTGCAGAGCTCCGTAGAGCCAGCTCCGCCACACTCAGTGGCCTGGGTGCCTGACCTGATTATTACCTGGGGTCTTCCACCCAGGTTTCTGAAAACAGGGTATGACATATTCCAAGCCTAACTTAAGCTGGAGAGGGGCACAGTGTTTTCCTATGCTGGTTTTGCCCTTTGTATCTCCCCAAACCTAATAGATAACAATAAATCTTTCCTTTTATTCTGCCTGCCCCCATTCGAGGGACAGAACCTAGGGCTTCACACATACTAAGCCAGCACTCACCACTGAGCAACATCCCCAGCCCTCTGACAGTAAATATTGAAGCTCTACAACTTGGCTTCAGAGTTCTGGCTTCAAGCCAATAATTCAGTTCTGTTCTGTTTCCAATCTGTTTTTACCTGGATAAGAACTGATAGAACCTTCCCTTGATTCACAAACTTTTCCTTCCCTGATACATCCCACAATTTTGATTCTGAAAAATTTCAAACCTAAAGAAGACTTGTAACACTAAATATTCATATTCTCTTCACAAGAATTGGCAAATTCTTAACATTTCACCATGTTTGCTTATATCATCCCCCCTATCCACACATATAATTTTTTCTGTAAGCCAGTTGAAACTTATTTGCATTTCTAATAATAATATCTAACACATGGTCCATTTTTTAAGAACCCAGCCCACTCATTTTTCAAAATCACCCCTACTTGGGTTATGCTCCTTTGCTGATCAGACTCTCATTAAGTATTTTGGCAGGAATACCAGCTAGCTGGCTGGTGTGGTATTCTCAGTGCTCACGTGTAGGGACAACCATGCCAGCTTGTCTGATCACTTGGCTAGGGAAAACCATCCCTGCCAGGAACCATATCCCTTTGCACCTGACTAGTTGTATGAGAATGATGTCTAAGGCTGCTTATCCTGTTTGAATCAGTCTCCACCCCATGGCTTAGCGTTCAGTACACTCTGGAGGGTTCTGAATAAAGGATTTTCKTCCTTATTTGTKGCTTTGGTTTGTCTCCTCAGGTCTCAAAGGCCTCTGCAGACCTCATGTCCTACTGTGAGGAGCACGCCAGGAGTGACCCTTTGCTGACAGGCATACCGACTTCAGAAAACCCTTTCAAGGATAAGAAAACCTGCATCATCTTATAGTGGAAGAATGGAACCGTTCCTCGCCTCTTCCCAACAAAGCAAATCCTGAGCGGCTCCTTGAAGAGATTTGCCTCCAGCTTATTTGGTAACCACTGCTAATAACTAAAATGCTCTTCTCTTGGAATAATGGACTCTAAAGTCTTTATTTTCCAAGTTGCCCTTTCTTTAAAATACCCTTTACTGATTTAATACAGAATAACAATCTTTGTTTTCCATTTGATAACTATGGTATTACTTTGGGTTATTGTTTAAGGAGAGTTGGCCTGGGCCTTCTTAAAAACACAATTATATATTTCATGTATTCAGTTGATTCAGATATGTTAAGACTTAAAATGCCTAAGCACCTGTCAAATTAAAATGCCAAGAATAACTTCAGTCCTGAAACCTTTATATCATATTCTGCTCTTAATAAGGTTTGTGCCAACCTGTATAGTGTACAAGGGAAAGGGGTGTATTTTGTATATGTATGTCTTCGTATGTACACATATCAAAGCTTACTTCCTCATCAAAGCTCCCCTCTCCATGTAACAGCAGTTCCTCAACTCCAGAAGTTGTATTTATCTTGAGCTGTGTAGGTAGAATAAAAATTCTTTTCATATAGTTATTGTGCAAAAAATAAAGAAAAAGCATYCTAAAGATTGTATTCATTGTGATCAGGTGATATGTCATCTCTCCTCTCTTGAAACTTGCTGAACCTCTTAGGTGATGATGAACCATGCCAATTAAAAACTGAAACTGAACTGAAAGCTCTTTGATAAGGTATTAATTCATAGGGACCCTTTTGGGCTTCGGCCATCTTGAGTCTAGAAAAGGGGAGGGGACCCTTGGAGGAGGACTGTAGCAGCTGTGCTTTCCTGGGGAAGACATCTCTGAAATTTCTGCCCTGGTGATTAAAATAAGATAGTGAACAGTGAGCCTGACCAGGGGGAGCAGAAACATGTAAAAACCAACTGCTCTTCTCAGGCCAGCTTTGCAATTTGTCCCCCTCTTCTTCTCCATTAGCCTCCCCTGTATTCTCCCTCTGCTGCTAGAGTATTTTCAGAGGTGACATTCCCCTCCCCAGACCCAGAAAGATGAGACTTGGTGGGAAAGAAATAGACTTAAAACATTAAGGTGTCAGGACTCATGCTCTCCTCAGATGTCTGCAGTTTCAACCCTGCCTGTCCACAGACCCTCCAAGGGAAACTGMCAGCTTCCCAGGAGGGGCTTGGACTCGGCGGTACACTCCTTGGACCATAGGGTCCCAGCTGCTGGACATGGAGTTTCTCAGCCTTCCTCTGAGAAGATAGGACATATGTCCTCAAGATGTCCATGGGGAAGCCAAAGGCATGCATCTCCTCTGGCCAAAGGGGCATCATGACTTTATCAGAGAGGAAGGAAGGCTCCTTTTTAATTAGGGGCCAAACCATGCTGAGGATATGACACTTTAGTCCACTTTCAGCTCATTAAAAAGAACTACTAATGAAGGGTTAAAAACTTAATCACAGAGGATTCAACCCTGAGAAAGAATTACTTACGATGATTTCCTTACTTATGTACAATCTGCCCTGAAAAGCAAAACCTTTTAAAATCCAATGCTCTGGGCTTGAACATCATGCTCATTGGTGGTGGGTGAGCAGATACAGTCCTGTTTTTAAATGGCTTGAACGTAGTCAGTGTTCCTCCCACTCACCCGTCGACTCAGCACTGTGAACTGACCCTGTGAAAGTCACGGCACTGCCCTCAACCTTTTGTCACCTACTGCTTGGTTCTGTGAAATACTCAGTCCCAAGTAAATTACAGGCACCTGCATAGGAGAGAAAGCTTTTGCCTTTCAAAAGGTGAAATTGGAAATGTACACTAAGACAACAACTTCACATCTTATGCTTCACTTAAGGAGACATTCTTTTTTTTATAAGTATATTTTTCTACGGATAGTTTCAGAACACTGAGTTTATTTTCACTCTAATTTTTAACATGTTTCTTTAAATATTTATAACACAGCTTACTACAGAATCTTTTCATGAAATCACTCTTATTATACCATTTTGTGCACATTATTAGCAGCCAGCATAGTTTATTCTTTAGCATTAAAACAGTCTTTTGCCTAACGGTAAACAAGCATGTTTTGCTATATATTTGTTAATTTGTTTGTTATAGTAAGAAATGGGCTTGAGTTCCCAGGAGATTTCATTTTATTTTTATCGGTCAGATAGAATAMAGGCTATGAGTATAAATGTCATGTAATTTCCTAACCAGGTGTAGGGCATGTTCATAAAAAARTKGAATCAAATTGTCCTTTGATGCTGACACAAGAGGGGGGAAATTGTAACCACATGTTGATTTACTTATAACTAGATAACTATGTGAGGAAAATATAATATATGTATACATATATATGATATGCAGAAGTCACTTTTATTTATCTGGTCTGTTCTACTTGTGAAGCCACAGTTAAACYGTCTCCAGCAGTTGGTTTGTGATAATGGTAGATGCCAATGTGTGTTATTTTTTTCTGCTACCACTGTAATGACACACTTAAATATATACAGGCAGCTTCTTGGCTTCATTCCCATTGAACTATTTAAATACACTCAATATACTTTGTCTGTAATGCTGCTTCTGTGAACAGTGATCTTGTTCCTTTTTCATTCCTATATTTTCATTAGTTCATCATAAATCTGTCCAGTTGAGGTCTCATCACCATGGCAAGATAGGCTAGGCCAAACATAAGATTCCAAAGTATTTTACAAAAACACTTTTTTTTTTTAATAGAGAAATACTTTCTATATGAGGTGGTTCACAATTTATGGGTTGTGACTAAATACTTTTTTCCTTTTCTAAGAAAAATTTCAGGTTTTTAAATTCCTTACCTTATTAAAGTGAAAAGTACCTTACTTTTTAAAGGAAAGGCCTGCTTTTTGCAGGCTCCATGTTTGGACTATGTGTCTATTTTACTAATCTTTAAACTATCAGGAAAAAAAAAACAACTTTGTACCAACAATTCGGTAATTTTGAGGCATAGATTAATTTTCATAGTGGAAGAAGTGCCAATTTTCTCTTCAGATGCTGACTTTTCAACCAATTTATAACTAAGATAGTACCCTCTGATTCCTCTGAATTTTTATTTAAGATATATACAGGCCCAAGAAGTAAATAACAACCATACATGTCAGGCGTTTCTTGGTGAAATGAACGTAATACCAGAGTATAGTATGAATTGTACTGATCTATTTATTTCATGATAATAGATCAATAGGAAAAGATACCTTAAATCAAATAGAGTTATCTAAGTATATCAAAATAGAGCACTGACCTAAAGTTGGGGCCTGTATTTTAGCCCTCAGTCATTTTCTAGCCTATCCTGTTATCATCTTACTTTGGACAAGGCAGTTCATCTCTCTGGGCCTCCATTTTCCCATTTGTAAAACAAGGGGCTGGCAGCAGACGACCCCTGAGATCCCTTCCTGTCCCAGATGCCTTGGTTCAACACCACTGCCCCTCTGCTGGTCCTGCCAATGTGTTGGTGCTACACGCTACTTCAAATAGAAACTGGGTTTGTCTATAACGTGTGCTCCCTTGATAGCTTATGAAAGGCCTTTTTGTTATACAGTGCTTTTTCCCCTAGTTTTACAGACTTAGTTACTGTAATGATGTTTCTAGCTATTTTCTTGATGTCTCAGTAAATTTGCATTTRATATATTGTTGGTGAGATTGTGTTGTTTTGTAACGTTCTTTGGCTACTCATCTGTCCAGCATCTTATTAACCTTAACACTGTGATCATTGTTTAAAATATGTTCTGTGGAAAGAATAAAAGCATTTACTTCACAGCTAGCATGTTCACAGATTTGAAAGAAAGTTCATTTAAAAAGCACTGTTGCTTTCTTTACTGAGTCAGTGCCTCGCATCGTTTTGCTGGTGTTTGCTCAATATATTAATAAAAGACCTTTTCTCTTCATTCGTTCAGTTAATTTTTTTGAACACCTGTTGGGATGTGGGTCAGGCTGGTGACATGAAGACAAACAAGACTCACAGCAACCCAAGAACATGAGTCTGGAGCAAAGAGGGTTGGAATGACAGACACACATACACACTCATGACAGCGCCATCTGAGAAGTGCCGGGACTCGTGAGCACAGGTGCTGAGAGCCCAAGAGAAAAAGGGACCAGCTTCAAACCAGAGAGCCTTCTGAGAAGGCTTCCAAGGGAGGGCATTATGAACTGGGGCTTGAGAGAGGCAGAAGAAACACTGTGTGCATTGGCATGAAGTCTTGGGAGATAAGAGGCAAAAGTGGCCACAAGCTAGTGTGCAGAAGGTCTCCCATATACTGCCTATCCAGTAAGCAACAAGGTGGCAGAAGAGGTTGTTAAGAGTGAGGCTGTGATTCCTCATGCCTGGAGGGCTGTTTCCCATCCTGAGACCCAGCTGTGACCATGGAAACTGATAACAAATGGAAAGGTCATTAGACTTCTGGTGACTCATATTCACCAACTGCTTGCAGAAGGTGCCCTGCCTCCTCCTCTGACCTTCCCCCTGGGCTGGGTTTCCCACAGAGAAAGGGAAGGCAACATCTTCCAAAAAGGAAAGAAAAGGGAGGCAGCCAAAGAGCACCAAATCATGAACTGATCAAGCTAGAAAGATAGCCCATCTCTGAGAACCAGTACACTCGTGCAAAGAGTGGCAACAGGTGGGCACAGCAACTCAGGCCTGTAATCCCAGCTACTCAGGAAGCTGAGGCAGGAGGATCACAAGTTCAAGGCCAGTCTGGGCAATTTAGCCAAACCCTATATCAAAATAAAAAGGACTGTGAGTGTAGCTTAATGGTAGAGTGCCCTGGGTGCAATCTCCACTACTGTAAAAAAGAAAAGAAAAAAAAAGTATAAACAAAAGATGGTCACTCAACCCATTCTAGTAAAGGACTGAAGAAGAATTTACATACTATGTTTATGAGAACTAGGCAACAATTTTTACAAGCACTCTCATCAGTTCTGACCAAATTCTTATGAGTAGAAGACAACTGTATTGGGGGTGGTGGATAGGATTGGATAGAAAAGTTTTTAGAAAGATAGAAGCCAGGGGTGGGGCCTATGGTGTAATCAGGAGACTGGGACAGGAGGATTGCAAGAAAAAGRCCAGTCTGGGCAGCTTAGCAAGACCTTGTCTCAAAATAAAAAATAAATAGTGGCAGCATGTAGCTTAGTGGTAGAGCATCACTGGGTTTAATCCCCAGTTCCAAAAACAAAAARGGGGATGGATGGTGATGAGATGGCAGGGGTGTGTAAGGAAATATGGCAGGTGAAATGTGCACTGCCTTAATGTTACAAGTAAGAAATAAGCCAGCAGGTAGAGATGGCTGCTTAGTGTTGTGACTCCTGTCATATAGCCTTTCAACTCTTGTGGACATGGATCATCATAACTTTTCATTGGCAAGGTCAGTGACAAATAAGTGTATGGGTAGCACTATAAGCCTTTTGGGGGGACCAAGTAGACAGTCATTTTGAGTCCTTTTCCCTCCTTGTCCATGCCCACCTTTGCTGTCTTTTAGCTTAAGCTCTGACCATGTTTGTAAGACCTGGTCTCACTGTCAGCTTCAGCCATCTGCACAACCTGGCATAGCCTTCTCCTGTAGCTGACTTGCAGAACTTGGCTCTACCTGCTACTCCACCCTTTCCCACTGCAAGAAGCAAATGACCTTTGCCTTCAGATGAACCTTCTGTTACTCCAATGGCTGTCCTCTTATCTGAGCCATTCAAATC